TTTGTCTGTTTGTCATGATGGTCATGAAAAAAGGAATTATAAATAGTTTACTTCAGTGCCAACAGTTACAATCCTAATCATTAATGGCTTCATTTTGTAAGACAATACGTTTGGCATTAAGTAAATGTGTATCCAGCTACGACCAAAAATAAAACTACTAGGAACAATTCTCAGTTTAAACAGCGATCTAACCAAAACCATTTTGGAAAGAAGACACATTGAAGACCTGATCTGTAAAATTAGTGAAACAATATCATTATCGGTAAACATTTTTTGCGCCAAGAGTAAAGTAATAATCAACCAAGGTTATCAAACCTCTTCAAGGCATCTTCACCACCCTGCTGTTTAACAAAAGGAACACAAATTGAATAGATCCTTCCCATTAGTTTAGATTGAGAATAAGGATCAAACAGTAAAAAGCTTGGCTTTAACCTTCTAGCCCAGGGGTGTCAAACTCAATTTCATCACGGGCCACATTAGCATTATGATTGCACTCAAAGGGCTGGTTGTAACTTTAAGACTATATAAAAATACATATATAAATATTTAATATATATAAAATAATGTATAATATTACATTTTTGCCTCTACATTGGATTATTATCGGATAGGGTAATAACTTCATAATTGTCTATGTCTGAAAGCAGAAGTCTAGGGCAAATATATAGGGCAAGTCTCTTCAGTGAGAATGTCACAAAATGATTTAAAAAGAAAAGCCAAATTCTGAAGACAAAAAGTCACAAAAAAAACCAGTGACATTTTAAATCTCTAACTTTTGATCATCAAAGCGTATCACTGCACCAGCTGCTCCTGTTACTGATATGATACCACTCTTATCATAAAAGTGAGAAGAATTTTTTTTTTTACGTTTTCAGAAATGTATCCATCCTTCCATAAAGTATAGCATTTTCAACAATGGTGAAACTTGTATTTTAAAAGCATCCACAGTGTATACTAAGAATGTATAATTACCATTCATGCCAACGGCTACAATCAAGTCTTATGTACCTATAATGCAATAAGCTTCTGGATAAGCTACATCTAGAAGAGTTCATGAATTGGGTTCTGATACGCTTAGTCACGTTGTGTTAAATTACTGATCTGACTGCTGCAGTGAGTGGGTTGCTGTGAGTCTGCATCTACTGAGACCAAATGAAACTTAGTGTGACACACCAGTGCAGGGGCAGTTTGTGATACAACAGTATAGTGTATCAGAGTATTTATTTCATGGTCAAGTGTAGGCTGTACGATAGACAACAGGCTGGAGTGTCTCGTTTTGTGGAACTTGCTCAGCAGGTTTTACTCTTACATAATATTGTGTGTATAGCTGGGATTTAGCATTAAGAGGTTTCGAGGTAAATATGTTCCCATGAGAACTACTAACTGTTAAGGAATAATTATTCTAGATATCTAACCTTTTACTCTGACATCTGTTATCTCCTTTAAGGAAAGGCCTTGGTGCCATATGTGTTGTTGTCACCAGGTTGTGACCGGTCAACTTGACTGGCACGAAGGGTAATTGTTGTGAGAACACTGAGGCACTTCTTTATCGGTGTTTGTGGACTCTAGGATGTGAAATCCTTGAGGCCATGAGTGTCGGACGCAGGTGGCTCAATGTTCCCAGCTGTTTAGTCTACTCCTTCAGAGATGTTGATTTCTCTCTGTGAACCAGTTAAAAGGTCTAGCATAGAGAGAGGCTCTTCAGAATTGACGTGGCAACTCTACCGTGAAGTCAGAACCTCTGACTCTTTGATTTGTGATGTGAATCCTCCGGCCGAATACTCTGAATAAACCCATCAGTGTTTGACATCAAAGCTCCAACTCTCACCGTGTCTCCTTCCTGAGTCGGTGACTCCATGCATTACTACACAGAAGTTTCCTCCACACTAACGATTATATTCTGATTAACACAGCATTCAACAGCATATTGAGACCAATACATCAGTTTGGGGTATTGATGAGGGTGTACTTTTACTGAATAGCTTCGGTTTTGTCAGCTAGTAAAACGTGCAGTAAACCTACCAGACACAGCTTTTAGGAGCTGCTAGCTCAGCTTAAATATTTTTAATTAGTCTGGGCTTCAGTGAAGAATTTAACTGTTAAAGTGTAACTGGAGCTTGGAGCGCTTTCTGTTGCAGTATCCAAACCAATCTTTGCAGAATGCTCACATTCTGTGGCAACAGAGAGGTTGAATTTAAGCACAATGTACAGAACGGCTATAAAGCGTATGTCATAATGAGCTTCTAATCATACATAACAGTACAAAACAATTCGTGGAGTTTTGCATGCCTCTCAGTACCATGACTTCATGCATTTTCAGACCAGTTGGCCTCCAGTGATATCGCTCTTATATAAGCTGACCAAAGCCTTGGCTCTGAAACAGTTACAACACAGAAGGATCTGCAGCTATTTTAAGCCTGCAGTGATTCAGCTTTTAACTTCCAAAAAAGAAGAAGTAAAATAAACCTGCCATGGTGTGCCAATCAAATGTGTTATTTGGGCTATGGATGTCTTGGCAGGAGGAGTAGGAAACTTTTTTAGAATCAGTTATACATTTCCAAGTATGCTTGAAATATATGAGCAGATAGTAGATTTATGTTCATGGGAGAATGAGGGCTTGGGTCTGGAAAAAGGGCTTCTGTGTGACCACAGCTAAGCCTCACTCATCAGAGCTATTATGGGCAATTATGTGGTCAAATGTTTGTCACACTGCCCATGCAGAATCATGAACATCTTCATGTTCTCAAGAGCTGGCAGAGTGCATCAGACAGAGAAACCCAATCCAACCACAAAAACAAACTCTCATGGTTTACCCACATACACATATCTGCAGGTATACAAGCATGCAAATAAAGAATAAATTACTCATCACTGTGGGGGAAACTTCTGAAGCAATTGGAGTCAGGACTCAAAGAGAGACACGATGGAGAGCTGGAGCTTTGATGGCAAACACTGACGGTTTATTTGGAGCTTCGGCCGGAGAATTCACAAGACATATCACGGGCCACGGTCTGACCACACGGTTGAGATGCCAAATCAATTCTGAAGAACCCTTCTGTAGTTCAACGTTTTAGTTCAGAGTGTAATAATCTACATTCTTCAATAGATAGACTAAACAGCTGAGGGACACTGAATCACATTTGTTGTCGCTTATGGCTCGGGGTCATCTACACCCCGAGAAGGATGTGTTCCAGGTGTCCCACAACAATAACTATCTCGGGCCGAGAGTTGCCTGGTCATAAACTGGTAACAACAACAAAATGCTAGGGCAGCCCCTCCTTAAGGGAGATAGCATGCTGCCCAAGGCTGGGCATCTTCGTCAGAGGGCGAAAGAGGAAATGCAGGGCAAATTATTCTCTGACAATCACTGCCGAATAATGAGCAGCAGTTTGTTGAGCAAAAATGCAGCAACAGCACTGAAAAATGTTTTGTGGGCCATTCTGACACATCCCTTCACGCCTTTGCTTCACACCACATGCAACTATGTGGTCTGTAAGCGAGGTTAAGCATGACATCTGTCTTTGGTTTCATGCACTTCCACAGCGGAGTGCATAGCAAAGGGGCCTCAAAAACAGAGAATGATCCACTAGCAAAAGCATGTTGGTTTTTTAAACTGAACCCATTATTCATCTGGTTGTATTGTTTGATGTAATTTGGGAGAAGCAACAATCACTTTATTACACGCAATATTGACAAGTGAGTTATGTAATAAATCCGTTTTTTCAGCTGTTACCTGTAACTTCCTGCATGTTGTTGTGCTCTAAGCTCAAGAGAATATCCAACCACAGTAAAGTAGGTGTACTGTTTGATGTGTTGACAAAATGTTTAAGCTTGTTGAGTGGGTTGAACTAGAAACAGTTTTCAATCTTTTTCTTAAAACGGGGTCATGACCCAGTATGAGTCCCTGGTGCATATGGTGGTCACGAGGAGATTTACATAATTAAAATGTTTCTACCAAGCTTAGGATAAGACCATGCAGATTTATTACATATCCATTTTGCAATAGGTAATTGTATTTGTCTGCGTCTAATGTGCTTTTGTTGTCTAATTTGACATAGCTTTGTGTATAAGTGTACTTATATAAAAAGGGTCATATGACTTAAAATAAAGAAGATGGATGATGTATTGTTATAAGCATGGAGCTGGGCCAAATGTCTGCATGGGTATTTATTACAGAGTTACTGAGTGACAGCCCAACAAAGTAGGCATACCCTTTGTAAATTGGACACACACACACACACACACACACACACACCATACTTGCCAACCCTCCCGATTTTCGCGGGAGACTCCCGATTTCATTGCCCTCTCCCGGTTTCCTCCCGGGGTCATATTTCTCCCGATTTCTGACAAAATCAGATTTACACAGGACTGTTTCCACTCGGACTTTAATACAGCTACACCATTGTTTGGTTTCCATGGTAGCGTAGCGTGCGCAACTGAAAGTCTGAGAGGGTGAGGAAGATAGTCACAGCAAACAGAACAAGAATAGACAATTCTACCCTCTGCTCACTCCTTTCCTGTAAAATACAGGTCCAGCCCACACATGTGGTGCTACAGGCCGCAGGGCAGTGCACTTACAACTACAATAAGCATCTAATACAGCTCCGGCGATCCACTAGCACCCCCCCCCCCCCCACCCCCCGCGGTGGTTTTGGAAATGCTCCCGATTTCTGAGGTCTCAAGGTTGGCAAGTATGACACACACACACACACACACACACACACACACACACACACACACGCGCCACACACACACACACACACACACACACACACACACACACACACACACACACACACACACACACTTCGGGAAAAAAAGTTTAACTCCATGTGACTTACTCCAGGACTGAAAGCAACCACGAGAACAGTGTCACATCCCTCACCAACACATGATAATGGGGTCATTACAGTTTAACCGACACTTAAAATGACCCCAGTAGCCTACTTCACACACATAGCCCGTACACCATACAGTCAAACAGCTTCTCCACTGACCTTGGCGGGCCGGCGGGCTGCCAGTAGCGGCAGAACAGGTGCAGTCCGTCGGCGTTGACGAGGTGCGGCAGGTCGCTGTAGGGGACTCCCTGCGGGCTCCGCCGCGGAGCAGCTCCCGGCTCGGGCATGGAGGAGTCTGCGGAGAAAACACGGAGCAGCGACATCAACACATCGCTGCGGTAGAAGTAGTAACTGACGCCGGCGACGAGCAGGCAGCTGGCGGTGGTCGCGGCGTTCATTGTTTATTTATTAGCTGGTTTTTGTGCGCGTGTTAGGCATGCATCGCTAAAGACACGGTATGTCCGTTAGGATATGATTGATGGAATCCTGAGCTGCATGCACACACATACGGACACGCGCACTATAGGCAATGTTATCAGACCTTCCGCAACAACCGCCGTTACGTCACGAGACCATATTCTCTGTTTTACAAAAGCCCCCCTTCTATCTTCTTCTTCTTCTTCTTTTTCTCTCTCTATTTATTTTCTTCCCTATGTCTATCGGAATCCATACCAATATTATTATATTGCAATAACTACACATTAAAAGCAGTGTTGCTACTGTCAACGTGCACAATAGCCTACAGTAAAGGGAAGAAAACAAATCATAACAACTACAGAATAAAATAATATGATTAAACATTCACAAAGAGTGGAGTATGATATTATATAACAACTGAATGGATGTTAAATGGGTACAATAACATATGTTTTCTGTCTATCTTTATGTATAAAAAATGAAAAATCTATTTCACACACGCGGACATGTGATGGTGCTTCCTCGGCATAAAGGCTTAAAAACATCACAACAGAAATCAGTTATATCAAACATATTTCTCCAGCATACTTCTGCAGAACCGCACACACACACACACACATATCATTTTCAGTATGTATTCATCTTTTTCTCTGAAGCACACACCCCCTTCCCCTCCCCATCGCATGGCATTATACACGAGGCTTTCCACAGCATCATCAGGTGCAGCTGGATATAATGGACATCTACATCATGAAAAAGGCATGTGCAGCATTACAATGAACAGGACCGTGTGCACGCGGGGCAAACGCTGGAGGTAAAAATAGCCATGGTGTGGAGCTATTTCCTGAGGGGATCGGGTTTCGAAATTCAGTTTTACTGACAACCCAAATTGTACTTCAGTATTATAGGTGGTCGCAAGTGACAAATATAAAACATAACTAAACTATGTGATTTACTGTTGGTGAGCTTTATAGAAAAACAGATCAATCCGCGCGTCTGTCAGTGTTATTATCCTCACTGACAGGCAACATTTCTGCTTTGCAGCCAATCCTGTGCGGGGAAATATGGCTCATTAATTTAAGCTGCATATGACAGGATCATAACAGAACACATGAATAACAGTGAGAAGTGTGCAGTCCACATGTAGAAATAATCCCACTGTAGGATGTGTGAGTATTATTGCTGGGAACTGCCATTTGTTTTCATCTCTGCTGAAACCATCAGTGACACCTTCATGCATGGGAATATTCTACATAATGGGTCAGCAGTGCGATTAGTGCCTGCATGCATCCTGGAAGAAGGCAAACGTTTGCAATAAGAGTGTTTTAAGTAAAGCTCATATTACAGCCTTTTAAAATAATCGATTCAACTGGACTGTGCTGATATCGATGTCACTGCACCTGTAGTAAACACGCGCTTGGCCATCAATGTTATTGTCTGCAGGTTTAATGCGAAAAGCCAAATGATGAAGCCAGAGAAGCTGAGACATGTGAAAACATCTCAGCAAATTACAAGTTACATGGTTCAAACCAAAGAGTAAATGGAAAATATGCTGATGTTTAAGATAAAATACACTGGAGTCTTTTGTTATTGTAAGTCCATAATCAGGTATAATAAAAAATATATTGTAGAAATAGGACCAACCTGTGCTGGAGCGTCTGCAGTGAAGTTTCGACTTCTTCTCGGACTCTTTCTCTCCCTCTGTATGTCCCTCTCTCCGACACTCCTCTCTTGCCACCCGCTAAGGGAAGAATGCAGTCAGCGCCGTTTGGGTTGTAACTAAATAAGTATTCATACACACACCCTCTCTCTCTCTCTCCGTCACACACACACTCACATTGCAAATGTTCCCCAGAGGCGGAGGTACAGCTCTCCTCTCACCCCTTCCGTTAGCCTCACTTTATGTAAAAAAGGTTGAGTCCACATGGTTCACATTTTGTAAATACCAGACCCTCTGATGTTCCTGAGTAAATAGCGTCATATGAGGATGGGCCACTATGTTTTTAATATTTGCAGTGCTCCACCTGATAACAGAACATATTTCTCTTCACTAAAATTACAAGACATTTTGTTTGTAAAATCCTATTGGTAGGTCATAGGAACATTGTTTGGCATGACAAAGAAAACATTAACAATTATGAATACACAATGTTGGGATCTAACACCTCTATCCATTTTTGGTTAAGGTGAGCAAAATACTAGGTCAAAGCAGCATTCATAGTTTGTTTTTGGTCATTAGGGGGCAGCAGAACAAGCTGTTAACATGATATTACATTATCTAACTACTGATTTATAGTGGAGATGTTAGATGTTATTATGTAATTAGAATGTAATTTCATACACACAGGTGTCACAATGTGTTATGGTTGGGGGTTTGTTGGAGCTATTGTTTGTTCTCAAGCTAACACCACTGGGGCGCCTTTATGTTCAGACAAACTTGTTAGCCAACAGTTGCGTATTTACACAACAGAGCAATATAAGCATTCATTTGAAATCCTGTTTCTGGCCACCTGACAAGTGTTGGTCCAATATTCACTCTTTCAGCTCGGGTTTATCAGATCTTCTGTACTCCTTAGAGGTGAGAAGAACTGCAGAGTTGGTGATAAATCTGACTAAGAACCCCTTTCATGTAACATATCCTTATATGATCCATTATGATTATAAACGTTTCGATTAGTGCAGTTTCAAGGTTTGGAAAGATCTATCCTGGTTCCAGACCTCTAGATAACTGCCTTTCTTTCTATTGATTGTTAAGGGCAGAAGGACAACAACGCTTCAAACTGAAAAGTGATTTCGATGTCAGATTGAACAATGAAGTGAAAGGAAAAGGAAGTTCACATATAACGGGACAGAAAAATGGTAATGGTTGGAAAGCAACTCAAGTCTCTTTTAGACATGAATTGTTTGTTAAACTCTGTAGATGACTCCATGGAGAAACACATGTCAGTCCTTGCGCCCAAGACAATAAAATGCATGTTAAATGAAACCCAATACTGTAAAATAGTGTTTTTTTATTACAACTAAGTATGATTCAGTGTTACAATTCCAATAAACAATGACTCATTGTTACTGGTTTCAGTTACCAGAGGACTGCTGTTGTTGATAATCTTTGTGGTGGACTTGACTCTCTATCCACCTCTCTAACTGTTTATAGACATTTCTTATTCTTCCAAAAATAAAACAGCGAACATGAAAGTGATCAATTTCTGAATCATATTTGCGTTTCCATGGCCATGTGTGGCTTTACATTTTCTAATCAACACACAATGGATTGTATCTGTAAAAAATAATGTTCTTAAGAGACTCACGGTCACAACAGGTTAACAATATTATCTATTGTTTGGTACAATATGGGAACATCTGGGGTGGTTGTGGGTTTGATTTCCTCTGTGATCGTTCCTACTGCTACATTCTCTCTGCTTGAGTTACTATAATGAGCATCATCAACAACTCCTTATACAGTATAAACAAGTTCCCTGAACACATTTGGAAATAAACAACGTGCGGACGGGAGCCTGGTTGTGATTGAAGCTGCTGGTCGCAGTGAGACAGGAAGGGAGAACACCCTGCTTCCATATGGGAGGCATCAGTTTCATCAGTCCAGAGGTATTTGGATATTTCCTGTTGTTGCGTCACCAAGTTCACACATCTTCACAGGAAAGGATTATAACAATCCTTTTCAATTAAAGGCTTGTGACTCAGTACATGAACATTGGCAGATTTGTTCATACATAAACCCTCCAAGCAAGTATGCTTTGTTACTGAATAAAGTCAAACTAATTTAATGTTTTTTAATGTGTGTGTGTGCTTAAGCTATTATTCGATTTTTGACTGCATGTTTGTACTAAGTTGTAATTGTCTTTGCTACAATGTGTGCGACTGCAAGTTGGAGTGTAAGTGACTCCTAGAATTGTGGAGCTCACTGGATAAAATGCTCATACTGACACAGTTTCTGTCACTTCTTCAAATTAACCTCCATCGTTCCTCTCACAGCTCACAAGTGTGTCGATGGGATCTCCTGTGAAACAGAAGAAAGGAGAAATCAAAACACAGAAGAACAAGACAGGAACAAAGTAAGAGGATGAAGAGGATAGGAGATTGTCAAAATGCCTTCCAGATTGTTCTTGTTCTCTGCAGCTGCATGAACGTCTCACTGGAGATTAATGAGGAGGAACAGAGCAGGATTGTGAACATTTAGCTTTAAACTGTCTCTAAGCAGGCCGCTCTCTTAAAAATAATTGTTGAAACTATTTCAAATCTTTATTTGTTACTTTGCCCTCTGGTTTAATGCATTCACTGCATTAGGTTCAATGTTACATATTGAATTTGTGGTGTGCCTCGGGGGTGCTGAAATGCTTCTGTGAAATTGAATGAAGTGGAGATACACTATAGGCCAGATGGACTTCCAAACCCACCTATTGCTTCTCTCATGTACATTCCTGTATTCATACATTATGGGCAGCAAATATGAATCTGTATGCATGAATGTATTTAGACATTTGCATATGCATGGTACAGTGTGTGTGTGTGTGTGTGTGTGTGTGTGTGTGTTTGTGCTCCCTATCTCCCCAATGAAAAGCCTTTGCTCCTGTAAACTGTTTTTCATGGATCAGTGCCTCGTCTTTGTTCTCTGTTAGAGCTCTCTTATGGGAGCAGAAACAAATTCACGCACCAAACCAAACAGTAAAACTAAAACAAAAGCACACTGAATAATATACAGTCGTCCCTGCAAGCACAGGTGTATACATTAGATCAGTGGTTCTCAAACTCTTTTCAATAATGTACCCCCTTTGAAAAAGAAATGCAGCCAAGTACCCCCTGATCAGCGCAGAAACAATGTGTTAGGGAAGAAAAGCCTATATAAAGAGGGAGAGTACAGCGCTGCACCATCGGTGTCTGATTTATTAAAACAACAACCTTGTAACTGAGAAACACTTGCTACATTTCAAATGTTTACAATCCATCACTAAATTCATGGCAAACCAATTCCAACATCATGCAATAACACTAAGACGACATTGAACTGATCTTTTTAATAAGTTGTACTTACAATTTAGTGAGAAACATGGGCTTGTGCTTCACTGAGGATCATGAGGCAAACTACAGTTATTACACTTCGCGTTTTGAAATATGTGTAACTCTGTTAATATAAAACCCACAATGCTCAAACTTCGTTACTTTTCCTAAAATTGGTATATTTATTTATTTATTTTGAGGCGTGGGGAATGAAGAGAAACAAATATATGAGCATTTTATGAGCATGGGATTTTGACCCCTCATATAAACATATGCATAATAGAGTGCCACAGTGACGCGTCCTAAAACCCGGAAGTAAGCTGCACATGGGTACCTTCCGGTTCCTTCGACAAAAAACCAATGCAATTTCTCCATAGAATTTTGGAAAATAGCTGGAAATAAGGTCTGTGGTTGACACACATTTAAGAGACGGATCACGTTTTATTCAGTCAGATAATCTCCACATGTCTACCCTACTTTTATAATTTTCGAATCATAAATCTAATCTATAGATTTATGATCGATAGATTTATGATTGTGGCACTCTATGCTGCGCTATACTTTGCGTCCAGCATATTGTTTAGGTCCTTTGATAAGCAGGCAGTATCATTAACTAGAACTAGCAAGATCTGATAGATTTGGACATAAACGCGAGTGAAGTATAACCGGACGCGAGCGATTATGCTTTAGGAGCTGTAGGTGTGTGTGGTACAGTGTGTAGGTGTGTGTGGTTGGTACAGTGTGTAGGTGTGTGTGTGGTTGGTACAGTGTGTAGGTGTGTGTGTGGTTGGTACAGTGTGTAGGTGTGTGTGGTACAGTGTGTAGGTGTGCGTGTGGTACAGTGTGTAGGTGTGTGTGGTACAGTGTGTAGGTGTGTGTGTGGTACAGTGTGTAGGTGCGTGTTGTACAGTGCGTAGATGCGGCGGACAGACAGGTCTCAGTTGGTTTGGTGTCCTATGCTTACTTAATACTTGTAAATACAACTTTTGGCCCGTAATTTCAATTCCCCATTTCAGCGACCAGAGAGAGGGGGGGGTATATCCAGTCTCTGATTGTGTTACGTTATTATGAGAGTGCTCTCATACTTGTTTGATTCTGAAATTGTATATATTTATATAAATATATGTGTGTGTATATGTCCGCATCTGTAGCCTGTTATTGTCTCATTATACCGCACTGTCAATTAATTAAAAGTCATGAACACATCTGTCCATCAGACAGAGGGCTGCTGTGCCTCCTGTCATCATTAATGGACGTCTCTTTAAAATGACCGCTCAGAGGAGAGGAGTTCTCATTTCTCTAACCGCCTGCTTTATCCCCTCCTCTCTCCTCGGTTCCCCTCCTCCGCTCGCATCTCCTGTGGGCGGGACTAAGTCTCGAGGATAGGAGTCGACGTCCGTTTGTGATGACACCGCACAGCTGATGTCTGGCAGCAGCTCTGTCCCCGTTGTTTTCACACACACCCCCGCCTCTGTTAGTACACATTTACTGACATATACATTTGTATCATCTGTTTTAGACCCAAATAAATAAAATAAAATAAGAACTCATTCTCAAAAAAGATAAACGCCATTCTTAAAATGTATAAACGAAAAAAGCGATCATGAAAACGTTTCCAATAAATGAATAAAATCATTTTTGACCACTTTGTTGTTCAGATATATCACATATTTGTAACTGAATGATACATTCATTGAAACAAAACACAGTATAAACTGAGGAGTGACTCTCGTGAGTTTCATGTGTTTTCTTCACTCCGCTGGTAAACTTCTCTCATGTCAAGAAGCATCAGATCAGTGCATGCGCTGCATCGTCCAATCAGTGAGCGATACACAGTAAGGGGGCGGAGCGAGTATCTGAGGATTTCACCGGAGGATGGTCTGGTGGTTCCTCGGTTATCGCTCCTCGGTCCTCCGGCAGAAATAAGCGCCATGGGACGCTACTCAAGATGGCGCAGACAAATCAACTTCCGGTGATACCGAGGAGCGAGGAGCGAGGAAATGAAAATAACTGACCTGAGACGCAGCCACAGACTTTTTTTCCCACTTATAAAAAAAGGCGTATTCGTGTGACTGCATGAACCGAGCTGTGACGTCCGAACCATGACGAATACGGATACCGTTACACCCCTACATATATATATATATATATATATATACATATATATATACATATACATATACATATACATATACATATACATATACATATACATACATATATATATATATATATATATATATATATATAGTTTTTCACTGTAAATCCCATTTCCTTTTCAATCAGCAGTCCAAGCCACGCTGCAGATTGAGGATCAAGGAACCAAACCAGAAACGTTTTAATCATTGTCCATTAGGATATTAAGAGTTTAATACATCATCCCCACACCACTGACTGCTGAATGAACTCGGATGATAATTAATGATAATGTTACTCCATGTCAACTCAATGTAAAGTGGCAACTGTTCACTAACACATTTACAATATTACCTTTATAGGATATATGTCAGTGTGTTGATCTTGTTGCGCTGTTTTGAGTAGAGAAGTCAACTGTGACTTTCAAGGAGCACAGCAGTTCTGTAGCCATTATTGGAAAGGCTTTATAAAACTAATTTAATACACAACACCACATTTCCAATTGAATAATGCTGCGAGGTTTTGTTCCTTATTAGAACAACAATAAGTATAATATGGTTATGCCTCTAGATACGATGTTCTCTATAGTAACAGTAGATGATGCCCATTGATAGTATTCTCTTTGAGCATACCAAACTTAAAGAAAAAGTAGGTTAATCTTTTTAACAATTCCGTCTTGTATATCCCCTGTCGAGTAACTTTATAGAAATAAAAAAAAGTGAACTTGCACAGTTCAGTACTTTTTGTTGTGATGAAGTGTCTGATTGAGTGCGTGTGTGCATACTCACACAGTACATGGCCTCATCTTGGCTGTGCGTCCTGGCAGACTGACAGTGCAAAACGGCATCATGGACGGAGGAGAAGAGACAGGCCTTTGTCACTTTGTCATTAAAGAAACCTCCAGTCTGCATGTTGTCCACCACACCAGCTGGAAAACACAAGTATAAGAGGACGAGAATTTGAATGAAATTAAGGGGAGAAATAGAGAGTTATCAAAGAAGATAAAGTAAACAAAAATGTTGTTGAATAAATAGAACAAGAACCTAAAGAAAAAAGGAGTCAGAAAGAGAGGAATAGTCCTCCTGTGTATTGAACCTCGTTGTAATTCAGGGCTGCGTAAATATCTTTTACCATCCCTTTGCGAGCCTTAACACTCACAATAAATATGTTTTCTCATTCCGGGCTTTCAACAGCATGTTTAGAGCTGCTGATCCTCGTAATATATAATAAACTGGACGCCTTCGATCATTATGGTTGAAAGAGTTTTTCCCTGGAGACCCACATTTTCTCCAGCTAGAAAACACATTTGTGGGCTACAGTGTAAAAAGTCACAGGGTTGATGCTTTATTCAACACAATAACCCAACCATGGCAGCCATTTCCTTTTTTAGTTATCCTTACGACGCATACTAATCTTTTCATGACCCCAAATTGCCTTACATTCCAGATTTGGAAAACATGGAATAGTGTTTACTGAAACTATTTCCTTCACATAAATGTTTCCATAACATCAAGCAGCTAAAAATATGTGTGTTGTTGAATGAATCCAAATGGGTTGTGGCTAAGTGGGTCTGGAATGTCAATGAATAAATAGATGCTTGATAGTTCTACAGCATTTGGGACAAAGAAATCTCATTTTATGATCAAAATGTCAGGAGATCCCCAATGATGACAATGGAAGAGAGAGATTTAAATCATTTTATAAAGGCAAATGCAGTTTTAATAGATACAAAACAGATAGGATAATTTATTTTCTGGGTAACATTGATACAGAAAGTAGATCTATATTCATATGAAGTTATGTAAACGGTATAGCTGCTCTGGTGTTGGTGTTCAACAGATTTATAACCTCTCTGATATTTCTGTGTTTTGAAAAATCCACTCAAATGTTATTATTGCAGAGGGACTTACTTTGGCAGCCAGCGAGGACAACCTCTATACCGATTTCCCCGTAGTCTTTCTGGATCTGGAGTAGACACAGGAGCACAAATGTAAAGGTCAGACTGGGGATCATTTCATTAGTCTGACAATTTCATTTACAGATTGGATGCCCAAGGAGCTAAAAGATAAAGAGAGGAGAGAAAGTTCTAGTTGTTGAGAAACGCAAAGTCAAATGTATAAAGCAAAGATAACACTTTGAGAATGTTTGCCTTGTCCTCCAGGGCCAGTTAAAAAATAATTTAAAAAGTAGTGGCTGTTTCTTGGAGCCGTGTGGACGACAACAATTCAGTTAAATGTAATTTTCTCAAAATGATGAATACATATTGAAACATAGTCTTACACTGCGCAGCGCCTTGACCCCCACAGTGTCCAGGAAGTTGACGGGGCTGAGGTCGAGGACGATGGCTCTGGGGAGAGAGGGGTCGGGCTCATCCTCCACCTCAATGATGGCTATGTCCTTCTTCTCCTCCCTCTCTGGCACCTCCTCCTGAGTCATGGCACAGTGCAAAGACACTCATTAGAGGTTAAAGTTCAATGAGAAGCTTAAGAAGGTGATAGGCAATCAAAAGTGGTAACAAAAGAACATCAAGGTTTAGTGTCAGGAATGTTTGAAAGTGTTTGCGCTTATATTTCTGTTAATCAATCAAAGTTTTCCAATATAGAGGGAGAAAAAAACCTCTCCTTTTGTATAATTGACATTAAATATGTCTATGGTCATCCTCACCATGTCCACTGCGTTATTCTTTGCAGCTTTTTTGGCATTTTTCTTCTCATGCCTCTTCCTTTTGGCCTCTAGTTTCTTCTTTGCTGACAGGAACTTGGTAATGTCGATACCGGACTAAAAGAAACATCAAAAGACAATGACATGGTAAGAGTGAATTTCCTACAGATTTCCTTCAGCCAGTCACACTATGCTTACTCTTGAGTTATTTTAGCTAGACCAATTCTTCGGAGCCTGTGGGTAGGTGCTTCAAATGGAATAATAGAATATATCATTTCTATCAAACCAAATTTGAGCTCTTTTAAACCAATGTGAGCTTTATTCCGTACCTCAGTACCAGGACCAGCAGGTTTAGAAGGAGCTTGTTTCCCCTCCACTCATAACCTGGTTGAAATATTTGTATATCTGTCATATGTTCGTATATTATACTATACAATACACTGCAATTACTGCTTATTTTTCACTCCTGGTTAGATGCCAACTGCACTTTGTCTTCGTTGTCTTCTTTATTTTCCCAACAAACTTTTGGGTATGTTGATATAAAGATTCCTACATTGTTTAAGTTGAATAAGGTGGACAAGGAGAGGTCTGTTTGTTGTATTTCCTTCCACATTCATGTAAAGTTAAACCTTTTCAAAAATGACCAATCAATTAAAAAGAAGGGTCTTGATAAATGGGTTTGCATTAAATGATTCTGAGACCTTCACCTCAATAAGAGGAAGGCATGTAAAAATGTTGCCATGCTTTTAGTCATCTTGGGTGGTAAGGCTCAAAGGTAGTCACAGGAAGACAAACCTTTCTCAGCCAGTTTAGCTTGTTCAGCCAGTCCTAAGAAACAAAAGTCTTCAGTCCAAAAAGAAACCATAAACCAGCAGAGCAGAACCTGATTGTCCACACTCAACGACAGGCTTTTACATGACAGCCGTTGAAAGAAATGTCTTACATGCTCAGGATGTTTGGTGCATTTGCTGGAGGGTTTCTGTCTTGTAAGTAAAACATGAAAAGAAATATGAGTTTTCCCACGCCTGAAGGCAAGGCAAGGCAAGGCAAGTTTATTTATATAGCACCTTTCAACACAAGGCAATTCAAAGTGCTTTACAAAAAATGAAAGACATTAAGAAAATGGCATTTAAAATCAGTCATTAAAAAGAAAAGATAATAAAATAAACATTAAAAATAAAATAAACATTATAAAGAACACAAGATTACTTTCTCAGATCCCGAGTTGTCATGACTCACCTTATTGAATCAAGAATCAACAGTAAAGACCTGAATCTATTTACTTTAATGATGTTATCTGTATTTCTAACACTATGTCATTCATGCCAAAATGCACTGAACTCCCATCCACAAAAATGAAATGACAACACTGCGTATAGCGCTAATAAAAATACTATACTATAAATACTGTTCTGTACACAGGCCAACAACATTCAGTCACAAGCACGGCTCTACATATCATCTTAGCTGCACCTGCCTAGTGTTTGAAGACTGACTAGAACAACTGTGAACCTGTCCTTTATCTGTTTCTGTTGAGCTGTCATAAGGAAATAACCAAGTCCCCACATTTATATATGTTTCATACACAGTCTGTACATAACACAATTGTCCATAACTAAGGACTAATGGCCAACCAGGAAATGGAAAAGACAGAAAAAGGTCATGGTCATCAGTCGTCCAGAGCCAATCAGATCTTCAATGCTTATTTTTGATGCCCTGAATAAAATGTCTGCATGGCAATTGCAAAGTGGATCACAATTATAACAGCCATTTAAGCCTTCCTACTTCTTCAAAACTCAATTGATAGCAATTAACATCTTAAAAACGCTTCTAAGGAGTTTATAGGACATTCATTCATTGGGACAATTTAATAGCATGATGGGAAAGTAGTACAAATCAATAATGTGTACAATGACAGCATAAATATCCCCTTTCAGCTTTGCCTGTGAGAACAAGCAGTGAATGATCCCACATTCTCCCAGCACCTTGCACTATTATTCATAAAAGAATCCCAAAATAATTCAAGCCACTAAGACTGGTGGAGAAGAAAGACATCATCTACACCCCAAAAATGACCGGAATTCATCTGGTGGGCATTCCTCATCTTGTAGCCAGACATGCAGCTTCTGCCAGTCAGTAACGGCTCTATGGAGGCTTGTTTAAGCGTCAAAGATTACAAAGAAACGAGCGACCCAGCGGCTTTGACATGCTGACATTTTAATGAATGAGACGTTCCATTATCTCCCACTCGTATTCAATCTCGGCTTCTCACCCCACCTCCATCTTTTGTCATTGTGTTTTTACCTTCCCACAATCTGTCTTCCCATTTCCCCCCAAAGAGCTGTGACAGAAGACGAGGAGGAAGACGAGGGGGGAGGAAAGAAGATCAGGGGAGTGTTTAAACTAAAGTTTAGCGAAAGAAGGGAGAGGGGGAAAAAAGGTGGGGTGACATTTTGAACAATGCCTGTCACGGTCATGATATGTGAAATGATGAAATGTCAGGTCTGTTATTAGTGTGTCAGAAATAATGTTTGTAAGAGAGGAGATAATTGCACTGAAAATGGGACAAAGGAGATTATTGGAGTTAGACGTTTATTTATATATGTGTGTGTGTTGCTGTGGTGTGTTCACATGTCCGTATACATTTCTGCTTGTGTGTCCATCAAGTTGTGTTTGTATGTATGATACAGGGGGGGTCCACACATATATATTAATATGCATTTTTAACCCAGTGTCTCTTTGTGATGACATTTTGCCAGTTCTCACTTCTGTTTGAGGGTTCAGACAAAGTTTTAGGTTTATGATAAGGTAGGTTAAGGTTGTGTGTGTGTGTGTGTGTGTGTAATAGAAACATATTATACTCACTTACTTACTTTAATAATATCATTGTGTGATTCTTATTAGCTAATGTTTATCTAAATGTACTACTTCTCACACTTCTTAGCTAAGCTTGGGAAGATTCCTTATTAAGAAGATTTGTTGCAGTGTTGTTAGTTACAGTCTATGTGCACCAACCGTATGACCTTCAAATCAGGTGAACTGAGAACATCCTGATATGGCCTCCCTAACTCCCTAAATTCCAGAATGCTCCTTTCATTATCACCAAGCTCAACCCCTCCCTTTCTCCTCTCTCTGTGTTTGAATATGCAACCCAAACTCTATTCTTCATCTTTCACTCTGCAGACTGTATGCTCTCTGTATGACTGACTGAACTTTCTTGCAAGAAATAAAATACGACAAAGACAGCTGAATGGTTTGATTCTCTATCCACATTTGATAAATACATTCCCACCACAGTGTGTGAGTGTGTGTGTGGCCTCACTTTCTCTCCAAGGGCTTCCTGGTACATCTCAGCATTGGCGAAGTAGAGAGTGGCAGAGGAACGGAAGATCAGAATCCCTGGCACCCGTTTCACCTGAAATCAACGGGTCACTTAGTGAGTTATTTCATTAAACATGCTATGGGGTAAATTCTACAGCTAACAAGCTAATGTTAAGCAATTCTGCTGTTTAATATGTTCACCACCTTAGTGTTGTGTGTAAGCATGGAAAAAAAGCTTATTATCACTAAACCCAGAGTTATTACAATCCACAATGAGAGGGATATGGATGTGTGTGCAACATTTTAAAGCAATCCAACTGTGATTGAGACATCTCACGTAAACCCTTATGGTGGCGGTAGAGGGAACAACAGCCGAACACAAAATCAAGTAGAATTCATCCTCAGGGGACCACATTTCACCAAGACAAGTGATCCATTAACTAGCTACCATGGCTGTCTGTACACAAGTTAGTGGCTTAGAGGGGGGTCAAAAAAGAAAGCATCCTCAGGGCACCAACTTTCAGGGCAATTTCAAACAATGGTTGTCAACGTTTCGACAGGCCATAAATACCAACAATAGAGACAAGACGCTTGAGGCTTAAAACACGAGTAGGAATGTCATGAGGACCGAAACGTACTGATGGTAAGATATTACAAATAGCCAAAAAGCTTGCAAAAATAAATCTTCAGGTGGTTTTAATTCTAGATGTACCTTCAGCACATAAGAGAAACGTACTTGTTGTCCGGTCTTGTTGTTTCTTTGCTCTTTTATTTAAACAATATCTTATCAATGTGATTTGAATAAGTCCTGAAAATCCCCCTCCCCCCAAAAAAAACACACAACGGTACCTTTTATATTATCTTATCAATTAAAGAACAGTGAGAAATGGAGTATCTCTGTTGTCTTGTATTATTTCATTTTCACCGATATTTCATGTTATTGTCTCATATACAGAAAAGTACAGATTTCTCCCTTCAAAAATAAAAATATCCCAACAGTGGAAGTAGTTCAGTTAGAAATAAAAACATAAAAATAAAAGAAGTTGGTAAATGGTTTGTATTTGGAATGCAGCATTGATTTTCAACAGCGCAGTGTGTTCTGCTGAGTCACAGAGAGGAACATAACTCCCATTAACACCTCTATATTTGACTCTTGGTTATAATGTCGGGGACAAAAGAAACACAAGGTCAGTAGGTTTTATATACTCCTAAGTGTGTGTTTAAAACCTTTAGCCTACTGACATTAGTCACTTATGGCGCATTTCCACTGCAGGGCCTCGCTCGGCTTAGTACGGTATAGTTAGGCCTTGTTAGGACTGGCTCACTTTATGCTGCGTTTCCATTACAGTTTAGTAGCTGGGGCAGTAACTATAGTAACGCAGTGTAGGCGGAGCCGTGACGTCATCTTCAATGCGAACCACAGAAAAACAACATCAGCCGTTAGCTGTTAGCACTCAGAGCTCACAGCTCCTCATATATGTTCAGAAACTAGACAAAAGTTAAACATGAACAAACCACAGACTGTCTGTGTCATGGAGAATACAGTCGCTGGTTTATTTATGTCTGTATAGGCCGTTGTTGTGAGTGTGGACGGTCGGAGCATATAGCTTAGCCGATCTCCATTCAGAAAACACGCATTTTAAAAGGTTTTCCGCCTGCCGTCTGTCTGCAGACTTGTCAAAGCATTAATTCATGGTTTTTACTAACCGGTATCAGTATGTTGTTACTTCGGCATCATTTTGAAACGTGTATTACAATTATCTTTCTTACAGTGCAGACGCTTTTCTGCTTGCTCTTGCCTCTGCTTACTTTTTATGCTGATTTTCCTATTCTTATTCTCTGAAAACTTCGAGCAGCGGCTCCTGGACATTAACTTATCACTGGGACAGTTATTCATCGTAAATAGACGGAGGGTTTCAGCCATATTTCAACATTTTTACGACGACCTCAGTCTTACAGTAGCGTGGCCTAGCAACAGCTAAAGCCTGGTAGGCTACTGCATGCTATTTAGCTTAAGCTAGTTGGTAGAAAAATGCCTCCGTTCTCTACAGATGACTTCCACAAACTTCAACAGAAGATGGCTGTGTTGGAAATGAAAATGCAACGGTTGGAAGTTAACGTGGAAGTGAATGGACTATGTTGTGGGAATAACACCACTTTACCAGTGTTGCAAAATAATGGAAAAGGGTATGCTAACTCACAGCTAGTTAGCAGCTACAAGGTTTCCAAGGAACAGGAGGGCTGTGTACTGGGTAATAAATCTACAAGTGGTAGTCCTCCCTGGAACTCTCTGGGTGCAAAGCCTAAGAGTAAATCATTTCCATGGGATTTGGGAGGACGAATAACAGGCAGAGCCCAGCGCTCTGAAATCTGTGATGCAACCGGCTGGCCTGCATTGTTATCACCCAGGAAGAGTGCCTCTTCAACCCCTATTCATACTAGGAAACAGCCGTGGACAGCTGCTAAAGGGAGAACTACAAACAATCCTCCTAAACCACCAAGTGTGCCAATCCAGAACAGATACGCTCCGCTGACCGAGAACCGGATATCTCTTTCTGATGACCTGGATAACCTGTCCTCTTCACACAGCAGGGTAAGGACCAATAGCTACTCCAAAAGTAAAAGGCTAGAGGGAAAGCTAACGACTGGGCCTGAAACTCTGATTGTGGGTGACTCTGCTGTAAGAGATGTAAAAGGTCTGTGTAGTAAGAACAACACCAAAGTACTCTGTTTTCCCAAGGATATGGTCTCTGACTTGGCTGAGAAGATCCTGCATATTGGGGCTGAACATCCGACTCTGAAAAATGTGGTACTGCATATTGGAACAAATGATGTTGTGAAACAACAGTCAGAAGCGCTGAACGAAGACTTTAAATGTCTGTTGGAAACTGTCAGCTCTCTAAATGCGGAGGTGTTCATCAGTGGCCCTCTACCGCCAGTCAGAAGAGGAGTGGAGAGATTCAGCAGACTGTTTGCATTGAACATGTGGCTTTCAACTGCCTGCACTGACCATTCTGTCCATTTTATTGACAATTTTAACTTTTTCTGGGATCGCAGACATCTTTTTAAGGCAGATGGAGTTTGCCTGAACAAGTCAGGAGTGAAATTGTTTGTCTCTAACATATTCAACTGCCTGCGTCAGCAATCTGTTCCCTCTGCCAAGGACAAGCGGCAAGAGGAATCAAAACAGGAGAAAGACACAACACATTGCGCAGAAAACCCTGAAGAAGTATCACTGCACCCGCCTGAGGAATGTTTTGATTATGGGAGACCTATGACACAAATGGAGGAGTCTCCACTGCCCGTCACCCCCCCTGTCAACGCCTTTGAGGATACTCTTCATTCATCCCCCAGCTCTCTCTACTCTCCGCTCACCCTTTCACCCTCGCCCTCCCCCCTGGAGTTCGATGACCGCATGAAGGCGAGATGCAGGGTTGGCAGCATGTCCTTTACCCCCGCCCCTCAACGACGCCCACCAAAATCACCGAAGACAAGCCTACGTCAACCACCTCCCCCCCCTGGCAGCATCTACTTTACCCCCGCCCTTCCACAACGCCCACCAAAATCACAGAAGCAGAGACGCGCACCATCTCCCCCGTCTTCATCACCGTGCCTACGTCAACCACCTCCCCTCCCTTCAAGAAAGCATCTGCAGTCTCCGAAGCCTGATAAGGATGTGTGTGTACAAAACGCAACAAACTTTTACTGATATGTGCTGGGTCCAGGCTCAAGGGCATATGGCACTCTCAACTCTTTCCAGCACATGCCGGGGCCCTGCCTGCCAGTAGCTTTGCCGATATCTGTGTTGATAGGTAATAGATTAAGAGCGGTAAATCAGCTTAGAAACAGGAAGTGCTCAAACGTTTGTGTGAGGTTATCAAATTTAGCAGTGATTCCATGACAGCCACAGCTTGTCACAACATTTTTTACTGATAGTGTATTTAACAAACTTAAACTAGCTTTATTAAATGTCAGGTCTTTGGCAGGAAAAACATTTTTAATCAATGATTTTATCACTGAGCACAATCTCGATTTTATGTTTTTAACGGAAACTTGGATTGAACAAAATAACAGTGCAGCTGTTCTTATCGAATCAACCCCTCCCAACTTTAGTTTTATGAGTCAGGAAAGAATGCATAAGAAAGGAGGTGGAGTTGCTATTTTGTTCAATGATTCCATTCAATGCAGGAAGACATCTTATGGGGACTTTGCTTCTTTTGAATATGTGGCCCTTCAGCTGAAATGCTCCTCTCAAGCTCTGTTCCTAAATATCTATAGACCACCCAAATACTGTGCAAGCTTTTTTGATGATTTTACTGAACTGCTGTCTATAGTGTGTATTGACTTTGACCGTCTAGTCATTGTTGGTGATTTTAACATCCATGTTGACAACCCCCAGGACAGAGGGGCTAAAGAACTGTTTTGTGTTCTTGATAACTATGGACTGACTCAGCATGTGGCGGAGCCCACGCACAATAAGGGGCACACTCTGGACTTAATTATCTCAAAGGGTCTGAATATCTCAAAGGTTGTGGTGACTGATGTTGCACTCTCTGATCATTCCTGTGTTATCTTTGAGAGCTCTATTTCTGTTCACAAAAATGTTCAGAAAGAGGTAACCACAAAGCGATATTTAACAGAAAATACTAGGGAAATGTTTACTCATAATTTTTCATCCACACTTGCCCCTGCTAACATCTCAGTAAATGAGCTAGTAGATCATTTTAATTCAAAAATTAAAAATGTTATAGATACCATTGCTCCAACTAAGGTAAAGGAAGTGATTGGCAAGAAAATATCTCCATGGAGAAAGGCCATGACCGTGAGAACAGAAAAAAGAGAGTGTCGAAAAGCTGAACGTAGGTGGCGAAAAACAAATCTCCAGGTTCACTTTGAAATCTATAAAGAGAGACTTGGCCTTTATAATTTGGAATTGAAAAACGCACGACAGTCTTTCTTCTCTGACATCATTACCAAAAACAAAAACAACGCACGTGCCTTGTTTGCTACCGTCGACAGACTAACTAACCCCCCAGTGTCAGTAGCCTCTGAATTTCTATCCACCAGGGCGTGCAATGATTTTGCCTCCTTCTTCACTGACAAAATTCAGAAAATTAGACAAGCAGTCAGTGCCTCTGCATCAGGTACAGCAAATGTTTTGTCCCTATGTCCACCTAATATCAATTCAAACACCATGACACAATTCCATCAGATTAATGGTAAAAACTTAGAGGACATTATTCAACTTCTGAAATCCTCCTCCTGCTGCCTTGATATTATTCCAACAGGATTTTTCAAAGATGTTTTTCCTTGCATGGCCTCAGATCTACTTCATATAGTAAACACATCTCTTCACTCAGGTATTTTTCCAGAGGCCCTGAAAACTGCAGTCATTAAACCGCTCTTAAAAAAGAATAATCTAGATGCCTCAGTAATGAACAATTACAGGCCAATATCAAACCTGCCATTTCTAGGTAAAATCATTGAAAAAGTTGTATTTCAACAGTTGAGTAACTTCTTGCATTTAAATAACTGTTTGGATGTGTTCCAGTCAGGATTTCGTCCAAACCACAGCACTGAGACTGCTCTTGTAAAGGTCTTCAATGACATCCACTTAAACACAGACAGTGGCAGAACTTCAGTGTTAGTATTATTAGATCTCAGTGCTGCGTTTGACACTGTGGACCACAACATATTACTAGACCGACTAGAAAACTGGGTGGGACTTTCGGCAACAGTTCTAAATTGGTTTGAGTCCTACTTAAAGGACAGAAAAAACTTTGTTTCTATAGGTAAATACACATCTGAGTTGACAAATATGACATGTGGGGTACCTCAAGGCTCCATCTTGGGGCCTCTTCTCTTTAACATCTACATGCTACCACTGGCTCAGATAATGAAAAACAACAAAATAAGTTACCATAGCTATGCGGATGACACACAAATTTACGTAACAATTTCACCAGGAGATTATGCTCCAATTCAAACACTGAGTAAGTGCATTGAACAAATCAATGACTGGATGTGTCAGAACTTTCTCCAATTAAACAAATATAAAACTGAGGTAATGGTTTTTGGAGCCAAGGCAGAACGTATAAAAGTTAGCGCTGAGCTTCAGTCTGCAATGTTCAAAACAACAGATAAAGCCAGAAATCTAGGTGTAGTCATGGACTCTGACCTGAGTTTCAACAGTCACATTAAAACAGTTACTAAATCAGCCTACTATCACCTAAAGAACATATCTAGGATTAAAGGACTAATGTCACAGCAGGATTTGGAAAAACTTGTCCATGCTTTTATCTTCAGTAGACTCGACTACTGCAATGGTGTCTTTACAGGCCTCACTAAAAAATCTATTAGAAAGCTGCAGCTAATTCAGAACGCCGCTGCTCGAGTCCTCACTAACACTAAGAAAGTGGATCACATCACTCCTGTTTTGAAGTCCTTACACTGGCTTCCTGTGTGTCAAAGAATAGATTTCAAAATATTGTTGCTGGTTTATAAAGCTTTGAATGGTTTAGGCCCAAAATACATGTCTGACCTACTGCTAAATTATGAACCATCCAGAACTCTCAGGTCTTCAGGGACTGGTCAGCTTTCTGTCCCCAGAGTCAGAACTAAACATGGTAAAGCAGCATTCAGTTATTATGCTCCAAATATCTGGAACAAACTCCCAGAAACCTGCAGGTCCGCTGCAACTCTTACTACTTTTAAATCCAGGCTGAAGACTTTTCTTTTTGCCGCTGCTTTTAATTGAACTATTCACATCTTAAACTGCACTGTAACTTTTAACTTTTATCCATGTATTTTTTCTTTTAATGTTTATTTTATTATCTTTTCTTTTTAATGACTGATTTTAAATGCCATTTTTAAAATGTCTTCTATTTTTGTAAAGCACTTTGAATTGCCTTGTGTTGAAAGGTGCTATATAAATAAACTTGCCTTGCCTTGCCTTGCCTTGCCTTGCCTTGCCTTGCCTTAAATCACGGTCAAATATGTTCATCTTGTTGTAGTTGTAGCCCCCTTACCAGCGATTCTCTCTCTAGTTTAGCATACTCAGCCCGACTCAGCCTGGTTGTTGGCCCGCTAAGAACCTCGATTTTATGGGGCCAGAAAAACTGTGAAATAGTACCCGCTAGCCTGAACTACGCCTAGTGGAAACGCAACCAAAAACGGGCTGTGCACGGCACGCTTAAACCGCGCTGTAGTGGAAATGCGCCATTAGTCACCAATTAGAGGTTATTTAAATATATTGTGCCATACCTGGTTGTAGCCCTCCAGCGGCCTGTAGATGTCAGTGTCTGGGACCTGCCCTAAAATGGAGTATGTTGGTCTGGAGTATACACACAACAATAAAGAGGGTTAATATTTAACTTGAAACAATTTCCTACCAAACTAACGTTATGTGTGTTTATTGTGAGTGTGTAAAAATGTGCTCTTACAGCTGAGTCCTGAAGATGACGGTGAGCATGGAGAAGCCGATGGAAGCGGCCAGTCCCAGGTCAGGGTTGAAGAGTATGGTGAATATGAAGGTGACCACCCAGATCAGCTGGAGATTGATAAGCAACACATGTAATAAAACAAGACAACTTTGCTAGTGTTGTTACCTAAATCCTGAATGTAGCCAAATCAGTTTAAGCTCATTTGTCTCAGGTGTATTTCATTTACTATATGGGCTTTTGCTGCATATACTGTACACTGTGTCATGTGTGGAATGAGAAAACATAATCTACATTTGCTATTTTATTTGTAGCATATTTCTCACAATTTGTCACAAACCAAGCAAATAGCTCCTTAAGCTGTGATAAAATGTCATTACTGCTAATGTTAAAGGGGACCTATCATGCAAAATGCACTTTTGTACGTCTTTTATACATGAATATGTGTCCCCCGGTGTTCCAGGGAACACAACCCTGTGTGTGTCAGAAAACACAACCCTCTCTATTTTCCTCCATACCCAAATCTCTAAAAAAGGGGCTGCAACGGATCTGATAAAAACTGATCCAGATTTGAACACTTTACTGACGTCAGGACAGTGGCACTACGGCTATTGGGCCAACTCCACCAATCAGGAGGAGACAGCCACGGCCATTGCCGTTCGAAAGCGCTGGAGACGCTGTAGTACATATGCCAGGCCAGTAGGTGGTGCTGTTCTCACAGAATCAGCCCTTGCAAAAACAGAGCTAGAAATTGTCAAATTGAGCAAAATGAGGCATGGCTAAAATGCATGATCTGTTTGGTATTTTGAAAAAAAAAAAGTATAAATATGCCTTATATAGGTATGGTCCTACACTATATTATTCAAATATAGCATGATAGGTCCACTTTAAGTATTCAAAGTTTAGCTTGTTAACAGCTTAGCATGTTATTATGCAGACTCTTTTCTAACATCATGCTTACTGTATATTAGCAAGTCCGAATACCACAGTATCTTTGAAGAATAGGCAATATAATTTTGTGTAAAAGATATCCTGTTCTGAAAAGTTTTCATTAAAGAAACTGTTTGTCTGAACAACTTTCACAAATAACTAGTGAAGCTCAGGGAAGATATGCACATTGGTGCAGTACATCTTGTTACCAACATATGAAGGAATGTACTGTATGTTCCTAAAACTGTTTTATTTTTTTCTTCTTAGCATACTCACCATGTCTACTTTGTTGCTCCTCCACAGCGCAGGGATGTCCAAGAACTGCTTTATCATGCCATGGAGGTTAACAAAGATGATGGCGGCCAGCACTGCCTGCACAGTGAGTCAAATATAAGAGTTTATATGGATCATTTTTGAGGCCTAAAACATGAAGGTGAGCTAGTTTGAGATAAACCTCTCGTGGATTTTTAAAGTTGTATGTGTTCTTGTTAAATGAACTGCAAACAAATGGCTAAGAGTCTAACCCCTAAATGGCAGTGTTTATGATATTCAAATTGTAACAGTGCTTTACAGAAATGAAAAGGTATTGTTCCAGATGAATAACTTAACAAATACAAGTGTGATAAATTAATTTAACCCTGATGTTATAATCATTTGTTTTCAAAAGTAGCCAGTGGCTTTGTCTGAAGCTGAAGAGTTATCCGTCTTAAAGCAATCCAACATCAGCTGTTGCCCATATTTTGATCATCTGACAAAAACATTCTCTTGGACCCACATGCTTCAGCACATATGTGAACATCCACATGCACACAGTACCTTTGGCAAATCTTCAAAGAGTCTTCCAATCCAGAGCGTGATGAAAAGGATAATTATGGCTGAAAGAGCTCCAGCAACCTGCAGCGAAGAAAGAGGAGATAGAGGCATGATGAATGGAAATCAGGAGAGAGATCAAGGAAGGGGAGTTAGAGAAGAAGAAGGAAAGATGGATGATGTAATGGTTAATAGAGTGAATAGGTACGTGATTATGAGAGGAGTCGAGGCATCATCAGTTAGAGCCTCTCCACTCCTCGGCTGATTAATGGTGTTGTCTGACTAAATCATTTAGCCTCTCAGCTAAACTGTTTGTGTAGGTGGATTTCAACGATGTGAGCAAAAATCAATTCCCTAAGTGATATTTAATGATGCCACTTATCAGAGCAACGTTAACTATTACAGGGTTTTTTTTACATTTCGTTTAACCTTTAAGATAGCCCAGTTCTGGAGCTATGGGCGAAGTAAAGTAATGGGAGGAAAACACTGACAAGAAAAAGTATCTTGTGAAAAATCCTTGTCAAGTTATTAAGAATCCGAGGCATGCAAACCAATCAGCATGTCTCTAAGTGTTGTTGAAATGTGTTCAGCTCTGTGGACTACATTTAGGAGAAGAATCAGATATCATTAAACTGAATTGGGAAATAAGATATCCCAGCTTTTTTAACTGTATTATGATGCATTGTTAGAGAGTACAGGTAATGGCCAAATAGAAGGTTCAATTAAATGCATTCTAAATAATAAAATAAAATAAAAGCAGCATTACTGATGTGATGATTTGGGTTTTAGGCCAGAGGCCTGTACTACGAAGCTGGTTCAACCTAACCTGGATATGTTTGAGTTAGCCGGTTGGCCCAATCCAAAACATACGCGCTCTCGCTAAGCTGTACTACGACGCTGGTTATCAAGTGGATCGCTCAAGCCAGCCGTGTCCTATCTAGTTAGGTGCGCGTTCACATGAAAGGGGTGGTATTTGGAGCATTCGACCAATCTCAAACATGGACAAGCGTACTGACAGCGCAGCGAGTCATACTTCCTGAATGAAAAGTGAACTTTAATATTAGTCAAATATGAAGACGTTAAACTTTAAACATCCATGGCTTAAACACTTTATCCAGGATAAAAGCCACATAGCTGCACCTGCAAGGTGAATACAGCTGGTAAAAGAAAAAGCGTTTGAATGCGTACATTAACAGGTTTATGATATCACTGCCCCGTCCAAGACACGAGTGGATCTGACTTTAATTACATTTGACTCGAGTGTTTCGTCAACTTAATGTGTTGCTTAAAATAATTCTTCTGCATACAGTATGTGACACTGTGAGTGTTGCACGGCCAGATACGGCTCAAGAAGCTGACTCAGATAAGGAAATATATGATACATTATGATGTGATATGATATGAATGATAATGGGACACATCGACGTCTGCACTCACAGTGCCGCGGACTGTACTTAATGTTACTCTGATCCGGTTACATGTTGTGGCAGATATTTAAGTAAGCTTTCTTAACGCTAATGTTATAATAGTCAGATTACTCTGAAGATGGGAGGGGATATTCTATTAATTTTCACGTTCACAGTCAGTTGATTTTTGCCGGCCGTCTTTCCTGCAACGGCAGTTTTTCTGTATTTCCTCTATCCTGTAATATGATCGCTTTAAACTCCGCACACGGAGCTCTGATTGGTCAGCAGGCGGTGCTTTCACTGAGTTGATCTCTTAGCCTGCAACCTAACCTGCTCCGGAGCAGGTTAGCCGCTCAGCATAAGTTACCATGGAGATCTAGCCCGCTAAAAAGAGAACCAGCGTCGTAGGACCGGAAAGCCCGAGTTTTCCCTGAAGTCAGCCGGCTAAGCGAAAATCCAGCTTCGTAGTACAGGCCTCAGGTGTCTGATGATGATGATTTTTAAGGGAATGTACTCCCAGACCGTTTAAGTACTACATACGATACAAAATCAGCATAGTGTGTCATTAAAACTTATGTTTATTAAAAAAAATATTGGACACTTTAAAAGTAAAATATGCTAGTATTTAAAAAAGAAAGTAATTGTCTCATATAAGACCTAATTTGCTCACCGATATCAGAAATTATACTATAGCACTCTCACAATGTTTTACTCATGGGCACTTCAGCAGCATTATGTCCACTTATACAAACCTGAGTCTTTCCCCCTGTGCTCTCCTGAACCATGGTGCGGGACATGGAGCAGCTGATGGCGAAACACTGGAAAATCCCCCCGATGGAGTTACTTAGACCCAGGGCAATGAGCTCCTAAACCAAAGAAAACACCCTGTTTATATACAAGAGTTACGCCTTAAAAGAGCAGTTTACTCTGACTCCATCCACCCTCTCCCTACCTGGTTGCTGTCCACCTTGTATCCATATTTCAGGGCGAAGATCCTTCCCAGTGAGATGGCGATGCCGTAGCCAACCACAGCCAGAGCGAAGGCATCCCCGATCACCTGACCGAACAGGGAGGCGGTCGGGAGAACCGGCGGCTGGAGGCTGGTGGAAATGGATAGAAAATGATTTGGGTTTTCAACGTTAATGTGTGAAACCTCGCAATAATTCTGGAAACCTTAATACGTAAAATAAATATACACAAATTCATCACATAGCCAAGTTCAACCCCAACTTCCCACCGTAAATGTACCGCAGATTTTTTACTATGAATTGCATGTCAGTGAAAAGGCAAAGAAAGCGGAGAAACTGGACCAACCATGTATTTATCTCGCCCCATAATACAAGTAAAAACTAGTCAAACTTGTGATTAATCATGGTTACTTACAGATTTTTATTATCATTAACGCAAGTCATTTTTGAAAACACTAAAAAGAAGACTCAATATATATCTAATATGTCACACTCCCTTCTCACGTGTAATCACACAGTGCTTTATGTTTGTTGTGTGTGTGCGTCTCACCCCGAGGGAATCAGTCCCACCACGTCCACTCCATATTTAGTCCGCAAGTCAACCTGCCAGGAGATCACTGTTGCAACAACGATCTGTAGAAACAGATAGTCACAGATGTGTTATTGGATGTAAGTGTGATAGTATGTGCATACTTGCAAGGAACTAAATGTCAATACATTATATTATAAGTCTTTGTATACTTACACCAATCAGCTCTACGGGTATAGGAACAGGTAGTTTTTTACTCAAGTAAGCATTGAGCTCTTTAGCGAGCATGAGGCCGATTATAGCGACGATACTGACCACAAGAGTACCAATGTTTGTCTCTGGAATTATAGAGCATATCTCCAACACAGTCTGGAAAGAAATAAATAATAACATGATGGTTTATGACATGCTTATATAAGAAAGTATAAGGGAAATTAGTAGTACACATAAATGAAGATTTAAAGATGAAAATACAGTGTGCATTTTGAATTCTGGTCCATTATGGAGAGGACCGTCAGCACTACTGGCTATATTACACAGTATACAGTTTACAGTATACAGTATATAGCCAGTAGTGCTGATGGTCATCACAAGGCAGAATCAAATGCTTTTATCTCAACAACATGATAGCTTTCATGTTGTTGAGATAAAAGCTTGCAGATATATATTATTATTATTATAGATATTATATTTCCTTGCACATGATGCTTGATGAAATTCTAGGGTTTACAGTTGACATTGACAAAAAAACTAAATTGCTCTGGAAATATCAATTATTTTACAAATGTTTTGAAATAAAAACCATGTAGAAGCAAGCAGGTGATCAGCATGTCATCTTTCTTACATATATCAACGAGAAGGGTCCATTAAATCTCCTCGGGCTGATGCCAAAGGTGTATTTGAGCTGGGACACGATGACGTGGATGGCAGCTCCTGTGGTGTAACCTCGGACCAGCGGTTCAGACAGGTAGGTCACAACGAAACCAAACTGGACCAGACCGAGTATAATCTACAGACATAACACAGAATAAAAAACACACACAAGCTTTATGTAAACGTAAAAACAGATTACCTTTCTTTCATCTAACGTGTCCTGTATTATTGTTGGTGCCACTGTTGCAGAGAAAACAGATCGCTTGTTGTTTTCCTCAGAAGTGAACCAGTCTAAGCACTGATGCTGTCATTATTTTATAGTTATTCCGTTATGCATTCAATAATTCAAGCGGAAAATTGACAGCTCATAATAGCTCAAGAGAGGAATGAAATCAGCACATTCTCGCAGGATACAGAGTGGAATATACATACTACTATACATATATAAACAGAAGTGGAAAAAGGACTCAGATCGTGTACTGTACCAGAGTGTAGGAATACTCTGTTACAGTAAAAGTCCTGCAATCAAAATGTTACTCTAGTAAAAGTACAAAAGTATCAGCATCAAAATATACTTAAAGTACCAAAAGTAAAAGTACTCATTGTGCAGATTGGTCCATTTCAGAATAATATATATGATATGTTTTATAATTATTGATGCATTAAAGTGTTATCAAAGCTGGTAAAGGTGCAGCTAGTTTTAATGACTTTGTATACTGCAGGGTAGCTTGTGAATGTTACTCCAGGAGTCCAGGTGTAACTAAAGTATTTTTATTATTAAGTAAGTTAATTATATTTCACGTTTTTTATCAAAATCTGCAAAGAAACTAAAGGAAACAAAATAAATGTTGTGGAGTAAAAGTACATAATTTACCTCTGAATTGTAGTGAAGAAGTACAAAGTAGCAAAAAATTGAAATACTCGAGAAAAGTACAAGTACTTCAACATTGTACTCAAGTACTGTAGGCTACTTGAGCAATGTTACTTTACACCACTGTATATATATATATATATATATATATATATATATATATATGCACACTTTCACCACTAGAGTTAATTTAATCTTACAAGGGGCCAATGTTTCGGAAAGAGACAACCTGTTTCAGATACAAAAAAGAAGCAGAGACTAAATGTAAACACACGAACGATGCTTTCATTCACCTTAGTTAGCTAATATTTAGCTAACGTTAGCTAGCACGAGCTAAGCGAGCCAGCTGTCAGAAATACACATTCACACAAAAACAACTGCTTGATAACTTACCTTATCATTATTTTATAAAGATATCACAAAATGGTGAAAATTAAAACTTGCAATTCAGCAGCAATTCACCTGAGCGCCTGAGCACACGCAACGAAACGGTGCCTGCTGCGCATGCTCAGACACCGGTTTACGTATTTTCCTCCTTCTTCTTTGGTTTTAATTGCGGTTAACCCCAGCCTTTGTGGTTAGTAATCAAATTGTTTCTTAAGGAGTTTTCTAGCTGAAGGTCATAGTGAAGGCTAGTACTTATATGCTGATATAGAATTTCAAGGTTTGAAAATGTAGTTGAGAGCGCACCTGCATGCTTTTAAACAATACCATTTCTTGAAATGAATAAGCCTATAAGGCTTAAAGCCTTTGTTAATGTATGGCTACTTGCTGTCTTCAGAGAGCACTGCAAGATTTAAGTAATTGTCAAACATACATTTATACATATACATTATGATAGCATCTATTACCAATAATCATTAAAAACCCAGTGAGAAGATAAATTCTAAATATTTCACTTCCAAATCAGAGAATCCAAAAACACAAATTTACCTGAAATATTCCAGACAAGAAGGTTACTGCTGCTGCCACTCGGACCCTCTCTGCATCCCGTAAGTCAATGTTGACATGACTAGAGTTGGTCACATTGTCCCAATCCATAAAGTTGGAGTCTGGGGCTAATCGTTCTATCACCCCTCCTATCATCACACTCATCACCGCATATGTTCCTGAAAAAAGGAGACAGAGACATAAACACACATTTTTAATCAGCGTTCAAAAATACATTGGACATTTTGAGAGATATTTTCTCTTGACGCCACCTTTGAACAGAAACCTAATGTTTCTCTCAATGTTTACTTTTTTTTTTGTCTTTGCCCATTTTGTATTTACACCTACCAATCAGAAATGAATAATAAAAAAGGAGTTGTGAAGTTGGATCATACATTTCGGGCAGGCAAGGTTCCAAAGATAAATGTCATATTCATTCATGCCTTTGACTGTCTTCTTCTACAAGGCACTTGTGTGGCTCAGGGATACATCTTCACAAGTCTACCATGCTAACCTGATTTATTTTATTAAATGGTATGGTTTTATGTGCTCATGCTGACATAGAGATGCCACTTTTCATCAAGTCTGATCAGACCACACTAACTCAAACTTCAAAGTGCAACAGTTGTTTTTTAATGCTGACATTTATATAATATCAGAGTAGTTTTTATTCTTATTTGAGACCAGGTTTTCAAGCTTTAAAAACAAGCATGTGAAACGTGTATTAACGCTTAAAAACCAAAAGATTTTAGTGGACAAATGAATATCCTTAGACTGTTTGTTAACCTATATCCGTTTTTCTTTTTTTGTCCAAACAACCTTCTGGTGGATTAAATCCCCCTTCTCCAAACAACTTGTGTGTAGATACAGCAAGGGGTAAAGTACAAACCGATTGAGATGTGCTTGGAGGTGCCAAAGATGAAGTAGATAAGGACGGGGTAGAAGGAGGAGTAAAGGCCAAAGACTGGAGGAACAGATGCTAGCAGGGCATAGGCCATACCTGCAAGGAAAGCATATGGAGATAGTAAGTACAGAAAAGGTTTATAACAACATATCAGGGTAATGCAGAACCTGCATTTTACCATTTTAAATAAATGATAATTCCATTCATTCCTTTATCTCTTCTACCAAATGACCCCTCCACTAAACTGATCTCCTGAACCTCCAGCCTCACCCTGCGGTAAATGCATGATTCCCACACTGATTCCAGAGACCAGGTCACCCAGGGCGTTTTCTCTGATCGAGTACCGAGGCAGCCACGATACAACAGGAAAGCTTCCCAGCAGGCAGCTCTTCACCCTGGGACCAGAACACCTTAGTGTGTGTATCAGAGAAAAAAAGAGACAGAAACATTTTGTGAATTGTTGTTAAGACATGCATCAGCATACGTGTGAAGTCTGAAAATAAGGCACCTTGAGGCCATTGTCACTTTGCCACTAATGTTGACCTATCTTTTTTCATCTTAATACAACAAAAAGTTAATAAATGATCTGTAACCTCTCTGCTTCCTCTTGTAATCATTCGAGAACTAACTTAACACTATTCCTACATTTAAAAGACATGACGTGTGGCTTTTTTTCTCAGACAAAAAACATATTTTGTGATTGACTTTAAATCTAAAATGCGGACAAAAGTGGAACTACTGAGTGAAAGACCTATTGACATGCATAGCCCAGGCTTTTGCAACAGGATAATAAAATAATCTGACATAAAATAAGATAATCCTTTTTTGATTCTTCGAAGTAAAATGAAGGTGTTGCAGCAGCACAAATACAAAATTAGGCGCAGATAAAGATAAGTACAAAAATAGGAATAAATTAAGAGGTATACAGCTAGAAGAGCAAATAATGACAAAGAGTTAAAGGTATGTATGCTTAATCGCAGATAAATATATGCTGCGATTAAGTAGTGTTGTCTGTATTAAGATAGCAAAGTGGGAATCAAATAAAGTATATAATGTGGAAAGACAGTATAACATTTTACCATGGTATAGTTTGATATAGTAAATGTGTTACTGCACAAGTTGCTGACTGTTATATTACATACTAAGAGAAAATTGTTGTTATGATTAAGTCTAAGTTATCAGGGGCTGGGGATAATTAACAAGTACAGCTCTATGATTTTATTATATAATTACAAGATCTGGTGTTTGAAGACTCACTTATTCCCATTGTGTCCCAAGTGCTTTATGCTTTGATACAAAATGAACATATAAAGGACAGAACATGTCTCAGTGTTTTTAGAGAGATTAGTTGAGATGCAGCAAACTTTACCTCATTGACTTTTTAAGCTTCTCAGACAAAGATGTTTTTGAGTCTGACTTTTCTGCCATCTCATCCACGGCTCCTTCGTCCAGGATTTCCCTCTGAACGCTGTAGCCCGCTCGTCTCCTCTCCTCCATGGCTAAATCTAGCAGCAACATAAACAATTAACTAGCTTCTATATTTGTTTAGTCAGAAAATCCAGCTCTTATATTTTTCAATGCCTATTGCTCAAATGCTGCAATTGCATTTTTAACAGTGTTTCCCATGTTGTTAGAATAGACATTCAAATATATATTTTTAATTCATAACACATTACCATATCTTTAATATTTTAATCTTAATATTGTTTTGGCACAATAACAGCTGTAAAGAATATAATTTGATAAGTCCATGTTCATTCAGGTCCTAATCACGATCCTTTTGGGACTGAAGGGTTTGATTTTTTTTATGTTAATTACCTTTGTGTCTTCAAGCTGTATCAGCAAAAAAAGTCTTAATTAAGTTTTTATAATTATTATATATTTAAAAAAAATGCCCAGGACCTACTGAAGCCCTGAGAAAAGAAATATGCAAGTTGAGTGTGATCAATATAATTGTTTCCGGCGCTGAGAAAATAGATCCAAGTCGAGGTCTATTTCTTGTCAGTGATTAATGCAAATATTCCAGCTTTATAAAAAACAAAACAAATCTCAAATCATAAAATGGCAAATCCCTCTTGATAAAAAAAATCAATCCTTCCTGTGTGCAGAGGTCCCCTGGGCTTCTGATTGAATCTGCTGTAGATCCTTCCTTCAGATCCAAGCGGCTCCAAGTGGTATCGAAAGACAAATAATGTTTTTCGCTTCTTGTTGCAGCCAACAGACAAAAGCCAGGTTTGATTTTATAATCCCAGAGAGGAGTCTCTGACAAAATAGACAACCAAAAAACCTGTGCATGTAAATGTTTCTCTCCTCCCTATCTCCTCTCTCCTTCAGTTGTCTCAGGGTGAGACAGTCTCCATGCTGTAGCTCGCCTACTGTGCGTAGTGACGTTAAACAGAAGTCTAGATGGAGTTGGACATTGTTGTGGAGTGAGAGGGCAAAGTTCTAAACAGTGCATGTTGTCCTGTAGAGGAAGCAACAAAAGTGGTATAAACTAGATAGGACCATGTATGTTTGATCATTTACAGAGTAAGTTTATGTAGTTATTATAATTAGATTTTTATTTTTATTGTTAATCACCTTAGTCCAAGAGAATTTTTTTCAATATATATATATAAAATATATACGCCTTAGATATGTCCTATCTGTGTATTTATGTCTAATATTGTTTCTGTGTTTGATTAGATTTGTCAACAATTTCAGCTTAGTCAGTAAAAGCCTTGTTAATTTATTATTACTACCAAAAGTGAGTGAATTCAGATAGTTTGCCTTATCAGTGGAAGAACAGACACTGGTTAACTTATCAGGACAAACAATATGCTTTCTTAAAGACAAACTGTGTTTTATACGTAAGAGACTCTGATCTTTTCATTAATAAGTCACACTACACTATGGTCTTTTTTTCTTCCCTTCTACAAAGTCAGACAGTAAAGGTGCAAGTGGGTTGGAGTCCCATCTGGGTTGACTGACGGCCAGCAGAGGGGCACTCTCTGAAACAAACACATTAACATCGAATAATCCCACGTGTGTAATGATCACAATGGAAAGCCGGTTTTAATTCAACTGGAATTCATGACTTGCCCATGTTTATGGTGTAAGAAGCCCCAGTGGCCTAAAGTCAACGAATAATTTATTAAAATCTTCTCCAAACTTGTGTCGGAAACACATCTGTTTGCACGTTGCTCTCTGGCATGCTGAGGGGGGCTGCGTCCCACGCTTGAGATGCGTTTAGGGGACATCTGTACATTTGGGATGAATAATATAATACGGTTTAGTCCGACATTCATCGACAGAACAATCAATGAAGTACTAAATATTATTGGACATTCAAATGAAGGTTTTTTATAATGAAGTCATACCATCCACCACGCAGCAGAGTGGCGCAGCGGAAGCATGCTGGGCCCATAACCCAGAGGTCGATGGATCGAAACCATCCTCTGCTAGGTGTTTTGAAGCGGCACAGTTGACACAACATCACGATTTGCTGATGATGAATGAACCTAGTATGTTTTTCTCTGCATGATTTGTTTTTACCTCTCCTTTCAGCTCAGTCATTAAAGTTCATTTATTATTTCACCAAAAGAGAGTCAATCTAAGGGCGTCACTGGTTAACTTATCGGGACAAACAATGTGCATTCTTAAAAACACAGTCTGCTTTATAGGTAGATAATAGACTATTATCTTTACTTTGCCAGTTGTGTAAAGTTACTAAGTACATTTACTCATTTAATGCATGTGTCAATGTAATGAGTATTATTTACGTTAAAGGTTGGGTAGGTAAGTTTGAGAAACCGGCTCGAGATACACTTTTTGTTATATTCCATGGAATGCTCTTAACATCCCGATAGCAATGAATATCTTAAGTGCTTTGACAAAAAATCCATAAAAAAATGTCATCTGTGGAAGCTGTAATACTGTAAAAAGTACGACCAATCATTTTAGCCAGCCCGGCTAAAATAACTGGATGGCCTACCTGCCTGTCAGCCTTCCATCTGTGCACAAACTTATCTCGTGCCCTCATTGGTCATGTGCGCGTTCGTGTGTGTTGGAGGAGGGGCTCTATAAGGAAGTGGCAGATTTTCTCCGGTTGTGTATTTTCAAATTCTAGCGATCTCGAGCCGGTTTCTCAAATGTACCTACCCCACCTTTAACGAGGTAAATAGGCTAAAAGAAAAACATGTTTTCCAAAAGAACAACGCATCTCTTGAATAACAATATGCCTGCACTGCACCTCCAAGGTGCGCAATACTTTATTGCACAATCTATGCCTGTGAGCGTGCTGCGCGAGCCGAGTGCGTAGTTGAACCTTTTCATACAGGGCCGTGGTAAGTAGGGGTGATGAGGGTGCTGCAGCACCCCCTGATGGAGGACAGGGAATCTGCACATCCACAAGATTAAATGGAAATATAATACAAATATAATACAAAAAAAAACTAATTTTCGGCCTTGATGTTCACATTCATAATTAAGTAAAGATAACACCCTTTTCACCCCGGTTACATTTTCCATGTGCCCTGAGAGGCTCAGTGAGGCAAAGGACTCTGAGTGTTTAGATAGTTCACTTTAGTCTAAGTTATCTCAGTGTGTCTCAAACGGTTTTATCACAATTTATGTAAACAAATATTTCCAAGGCACACCTTTATAATTATTAGGATAAATAAAAACAGGTTTGAAATCATTCCAATGTATATTATAGGACAGTAAACCAACAATATCCTTTAAAACTGGAGAGATACAAAAATATGGATAAATAAATGAATAAATGTTAACTGGTAAAATAAGATATAAATGAACCAGCAAAAATCTATTTGTTTTGAATGTAAAGTAGTGAAGTGGGAGTTTAAACTAACAGAGATTTCATAAGTAGAGCAACTTCCTTATGCCCGGGCAGCCGAAAATATGTTTTGTGTGCACAATTTTGGGCCTTTGGGGACTCCATAGAATCACCGCAGACAATTACATTTCAGGAAGTTACTTTGGAACTTGCATGTAAAGTTTCACGCTATTTTTTGCTAAATGAAAGTTAAAACGTTTCACTATCACTCATATCACTTTGTCTGATCTCTCTCTCTCTCTCTCTCTCTCTCTCTCTCTCTCTCTCTCTCTCTCTCTCTCTCTCTCTCTCTCTCTCTCTCTCTCCTCTCTCACTCTCACTCTCTCGCCCTGTAATTAGTTGATTCAACTTCTTAATGTCAGTCTAAATAATACAATTATGTTGGTGCATCATGGCATGTGGCTCATTAAAAAAAAGTACAGACTGTACAGCTATTATCTACCTCTTGTATAACTGGTCGGCCCCACCTGCATTAGCACAATGGACGAAACAAATACATTAAAGTAAAACCACTTTCCAGCAGTCAGCAGCACATTGTAAAAGCTGTTGATACAACTGTTCACATTCATAATTAAGTAAAGATAACACCCTTTTCACCCCGGTTACATTTTCCATTTGCCCTGAGAGGCTCAGTGAGGTAAAGGACTCTGAGTGTTTAGATAGTTCACTTTAGTCTAAGTTATCTCAGTGTGTCTCAAACGGTTTTATCACAATTTATGTAAACAAATATTTCCAAGGCACACCTTTATAATTATTAGGATAAATAAAAACAGGTTTGAAATCATTCCAATGTCATTTCATTTCATTTCAAACCTTTATTTAACCAGATGGTCCCATTGAGATCATAGATCTCTTTTTCAAGGGAGACCTGCAGCATATAGGTTCCACATGAAACATAAAACAATAAAGGACATCATACATTATATTTACAGGATACATTTACATAGTTATAGACATTTACAAGTTCCCATAGTATCAACGAGCATTTCATTAAGCCTAGCTTTAAAAACATGCAGAGGAATGAGATTGCTCAGTTTCAATTCTTGCTGAAGATTGTTCCAAGCAAGTGGAGCTGCGCACATAAAAGCTGTTTTACCTAAGACAGTCCTTGCTCTTGGCACATGTATACTATAGGACAGTAAACCAACAATATCCTTTAAAACTGGAGAGATTAAAAAATATGGATGAATAAATAAATGTTAACTGATAAAATAAGATATAATTGAACCAGCAAAAATCTTGCCTAGGGCAGCAAATTGGTCAGAACCGGCCCTGGTGTCATCCCCACAGCACCCCCCATTTGAAACATGTTCCCACGGCTATGTTTTCATATTTAAGTTTGTAGCAAGTAGAGGGCTGCTGGCAGGCCCGGACTGGCCATCGGGAGGGCCGGGAGGTTTCCCGATGGCCTAGCGATTTTTTTTTTTAATGTAGGCTATTGTGAACGCAACGCTGCGCAAATGTGGGTTTGCCTCACACAGGGTGACTGTCTGTCTACATGATGTGGCATCTGTTTCATATGGGTGTTTCCATAGATCTAGTCTCTTTATTTTCCCCTCAAAATGCACCAGATTGATGCATTTAACTCCAAAATTAAAAAGAAATTTTACCAGGGGGGGCATGCCCCCGGACCCCCCTAGAGGATTTGAGGTCCACCCCCAAAATATGTTCACATGGATAGGTTCCCAAATACATTTGCACATTTTTTTAAATAGTAACCCCTGTCCATATGTTTATTATTGGTGTGTGTGTGTGTGTGTGTGTGTGTGTGTGTGTGTTTGAGTTTGAGTGTGTGTGCGCGTGCAAGCGTGCGCACGCGTTAGTTTCAAAGACCCCCATAGAGCTCAGTTTATAACTCGAACCCTGCTTATGATTATATTATATTATACTGTTGTACTTATAACTGAGGAGTATTTTGACTGCAGCACTTTCACTTGTAACAAAATATTCGACTTTTACTAAAGTAGACGATCTATTAGTAGGCTACTTCTCCCTATAGGCTACACATGTACATTGCTGAGTCAAAATGTTGCTTGACTTCCTCAACTTCTCTCAACAGCCTCTCTTTCACTGGCAATACTGGCAATCCCCCTTGCAGTTCCAACACTTGAAAAGCTAACATTAAAAACGAATTATTTAAATCTTCTCATAACCTGTGTCCGTCCCATACATGGGCGCACCATGCTCTCTGTAGGCTGACGGGGGCTGCGTACGACGTGCTTGAGATGCGTTTAGGGGACATCTGTACATTTGATGTTACTCAATATAACATGGGTTTTTAGACCATGGATGTATAATAAGAAGGTTTGGACGTGCATTGTTAGAACAATGAATGAAGAAATGCATAATATATCAGGCATTCAAACAGATGATGTTTTCTCAATGAAGTCATGGCGTCACCCCAGACAGCAGAGTGGCGCAGCGGAAGCGTGCTGGGCCCATAACCCAGAGGTCGATGGATCGAAACCATCCTCTGCTAGGTGTTTTAATGCGGCACAGCGGACCCCTCGTTTGCTTAGAATCACGTTATCATTTGTCTAACTACTGGAATACTACAATTCGTTCGTGGTT